CGTTTCGAAGTTCATCACGCATTCTTCATCAGAGATAATAGCATAAACAGTATCAGAAATTGATAATTCATGCACAGGGAGTTGCAATATTTATGGGGTGCAGTCAATATAATACTGCACACTCGCCTATCGAGGATTATTGCCCACTTGTGCGCTAATTGCCTGATGACCGACGTGGGGGTAGTGACTTGCTGAACTTTCATCACGGTCGGTGGACTCGGGCCTGATGAATGCTCGGCCATCTGGTGCACCGGCGTTGGTGTTAGATGAGGCGTTGGCCTGTACGCTTCTCAAGTGGCGACCGGCTATTGGCCATACTGGGTCTCAGCACCGAATATGGATTTGGTAGGTCGTTGCACTTGGTTATAGACTGGGGGCCCGTTAACCATGACTCAAGTAATTCGCGACTCACATGATTGTCATCTCTCGCGAGAATTTCGGTCTCATCAACTTTGAATGTGTGTCGGATTTCTTCGAATGAACTGCAAATTGAGAATTTGCATCATTTCGCCGCACCGCTGCCGTGTGTTCGGAAATTCGTGTCTTGAGAAGTTTGCCAGTTTCTCCGACGTAGTTGCTTAGTCCGCAACTGTACTAGATCCTGTACATGACTCCGGATGTTTCACTTCGTGGCAGTGGGTCTTTTGATTTCATTATCTGACACCTTATGGTTGCCTCCGGCCTATGTGCGACTCCAACTCCAAGTGGTTTGAGAAGGCGCCCGACGGCCTCCGAGACATGTTTGACGAACAGGATCATTCGCCAAAAGTTGAGGTCAGTGCAATTTTGTTGCCCGTCTCCTTTGCAAGTGCATCGCTTGACAAACTTGCGCAGGTAGCCATTTGCGATGAAAACCCTCGAAGGTATTGTATTTCGGTAACTTTGTCTTCTTATTCGCTGCAGTTTTTCTCAACACGCCGATAAAGCGTCCTTACGCAACTGTGTTTGTGGCTGATTGGGTGGTTGCTGTTGAAGTTCGGTACTTGCATCTTGTTTGTCGCTTTCCTGAATACTTTAGTCCTTAGGCCACCACAATTTTTGCGACGGATGAGGACATCAAGGAAGGTCAGCTGGTTGTTTTCTTTCTCCTCCATCGTAACTTAGATATCCGAAAAGACGCTGTTGAGACGTTCCTTGAACGTGATCCCGTTCGATGATGACGAAG